CACGCCTCCTGCAGCCACGTACAGGTGACCGCTGGGTGTGTCCATCAGAGAGGCAAGCGCTGGGTCAAAATGTTGGTGTCAACAAAACAGACAAACAAATAATTTGATGCGTTTGTATACATTTGTTGTCTTACGTTGCTCTGTTTTCTTCCTTTTATTCTGGCTGGGTTTTTTAACAGCTCCTTTTAACACTCAACCCCATTTCACCAGCTCTCTTTAACCCGTCAGCACCATCAGTTAGAATGAATAAAGATGAACTAAATTAACTAAAAATATGTATGAAAATGAAATTCTAGCTAATGAAAAACGGGAAAATAGAAAAAACTAAAACAATATTCTTAACTTACAAAGCTATCTACAAAAAAATACATTTTGAAAAACATCTACAAGAAATTTATTTAATTTTTTTTGACAGTTAATATCACAACCAGCCTTTTATTTATTTATTTAGACTTTAGATGTGATTTAACTGACTGTGAGTCCACCAGCTCAACGAAGTGTCTACTCCTGAGATCCCTGTTATTAGAAAAAAAGTTTCAGTCAATTAGACAAATAAATAAATTGCTCGAAAAAAAGAAATAAACCCAAGAAAAAAAAAACAAAAATCAACCCAATTGTAAAATTTAAAAAAATTAAATATGAATATAAAAAATTTGACTACAAAGGAAATACACAAACCTCAGTGACATTGCAGCTCATGGTCCATCACAATTTACAGCTATTGGCAGTATTAAGTTATAAAGTTTTCTCATCACTTGTTGGCAGGTATTCCAGGTACACTGATCTGTTACGAGTTTCAGCTTTACTTATGATTTTGTCCAGCATGTTTGTTTCCAGGTAATTACTGATACATGTTATATATATGTACATAATTTACTGTACTGATATCAAGCCTATCCGTGCTGAAGTCAAGCTTTTCGTTAAATACTAGTACAATATTATATTATTCTATACTTCTGTAACTATGATTTTCGCTGAATAGCAGGAAAGTGTGATACTAACGTGAGTTTAAAAATAGAATCGGTATAGTCACTAAATGCTGCTTTCGAAGTTTAGCTCAAAGTAAACCTGGAGTAAACTTTGGACAGAAAGCACAGCCTGAGTTTTTTTGTCAAAAGAATTAAAAATGTATTTGTCTCACACTTTTTTATGCTCACTTGCTGTCATATAACACAGTGTAGAAACAGTAAGCACATTCAATATAGTTCATACTTTTCTAGAAAATATATATATTTTTTAATAATTGCCTTTCGAAGACTTTCACATTTAATCATTGATCATTAAAAGCATTGCGATAACTGTTTAGGAATTACAGTTCTGCTACATAATAACACAACTGTAACATTTTAACTATTTTTAAAACATTTGTTGAAAATCTTTTTCATGGACATCTCCAAATGCTGCTTTTCCTCCCCTGAGATGCTCTGTCAGGTCTTTGGTTGCTTCTTGATTATGGATCTCTGTGACTTCAGCTTTGTCTTCATAACTGGATCTTATGGACCTGAGTGAAAACACCACATGCTGCATAAATTACTACACAAATCTCCAAAGACTGTGTCCAGTTTCTTCTTTAAAGTTGGAAAAGTAAAATTTGAAATGTACATCAAAAATTTGAGAAGCACTGATTAAATTTCTGAATCGATCATGCTTTTTTATGTTATAAAATTCTAATTGTGTTGGAGCATTATCAACCATAAGCCCTACCATATAAGAACCCTGCTCTGCAGTTGCTATTCAGTGTCCACTAGGAGACTGCTGAACTGCAGAGAAAGCTGTAAGAACCTATGAAATGTGAAAGTGAGTGAAGGCTTTGTGGTAAAATAAGAGGAGGATGATCTGAACTCATTTTAGAAGCTTTGATTGCAAAAGACAGTGAATGACACATGCAGCTCTTCAGCCCAACAGCAGACTAAATGCTTCTAACTGTAATGGTTCTTACATGTTCCCCCTAAGTGTATAATAATGATCATGATGTACGCTTTTTTGGTTGCAGTACTAATCTTCTCCAGTAAGTACTTTAAATTCA